TATGCTGCCAACATATATTTAATGTGATTTCGAAAGTTCGACACACGCAGTGCCGGTGAGTGAATGCATCGCAATGCAAGAATGGAACATGCGTGACGAAGCATGCTCAAACATGGAGGTATGCCAATATCAAGAAATGTACATGACAAGGCAAGTATGCTCATGAGAATGCGAGTTATGTGCATGATAGCGCGAAACGAGCATGAATCAGGGTGTTCACTTGTCATGAAACAACGAGTACGGAAATGCGTGTTTCGGCGAAGGCAACCCAATTACGGCCTCCGATCCGCTTCCCTGAAAGGTTACAACTCATTCAAAAAGGATACACTTTGATTTCGATGAATGATGATGAGACATATGTCAGAACTTGAAGCTGAAGTCCCGACGGAGCAATTTCGCGACCGGAAGTGTACTTTTCTTGAACTTTTTCAGGTCCCGGGAACTCCGATCTTCCTCAAAATTTGCAGAGAGCTAGGTGGGCATGTGGGGGACATGGCCGGCCGTTTATCTTCCCATGGAGAGGTGGCCAACCGGTTTCCAATAAAGCTAAAGGCTGGCCGGCCATTTCTGCAAAAAACAGATAGCTGGCCAGCTAGAAATAGGGGCCGGCCGGCCATGTGCTTTATCCGGGGGTATTTTGGTCTTTTTCACTCCCTTTTTGCATGCTTCTTCAACCAAGACCTTGAGCCTATAAAAGGCAGCCGAGGCCCCCTTCCTTTCTTGCCTTCTACAACACTTTCCTCTCCAGATCTGAGTTTCACGCGCGTTTTCCAACGCCCCGTGCAAATTGTTTTCGCCAAAACACTAAGTTTCAAGCACTTTGGAGCGATTAAATTTCGGTTTCGGAGCTTCTTTTTACATTTTCGCCACTTGAGGTAAGTTCATCTCAATATTTGGAATATTTTCTTGGGGGTTGACTTTTTGTTGACTTTTCATTTCCCGAGGGTTGACTTTTGTTGACTTTTTCTAATTTTGGCCCATTTTGCTCATTTCTGCTCCCTTTTACAGATTCTTTGAAAATGGCAGGCAATTCTCCCCACGGCGGAGGTTTTCCAGGTGCCGGAGATGATTTCGATCCCATGACTCTACCCCCGAGGACCCGACCTTTCATTCCCGGGAGGTACCGTCCGCCAGCACACGTCCTCCCTCGTGCTGTCTTCCGTCACTTTACCAATTTTGACGAGCGAGCACCCGGGGATCTGCTTCTCAGAGAGCCGGAGCAGCATCTCTCTCACGAGGCCCGAGAGGTATTTACCTCATCTTCCGTATTTTACATTTCGCACCTCTGTCATGCTTGAACATGCAGTTTAGCTTATGACATAGTACTTTGCTTACATCTTGAACATGTAGTTTCAACACTTGAATTTTTTGAACACTTGGCTCACCAATTAATTGTGAACGCACTGTACACATTAGTTAAGAGGCGAACACACGGTTCAAACACTGATTTGTCGAACACACAGCTCGAATTCGAAAGTGGACACACAGCCCACATTTTGAATTTTCTGAACACGCAGCCCAGATTAGATAGTGAACACACAACCCACAATTTAATTGAAAGTTGAACACGCAGCCCAGATAGATAGTGAACACGCAGCCCACAATTTAACTGAAAGTTGAACACGCCATCTTGAACATGTAGTTTCAACACTTGAATTTCTGAACACTCGGCTCATTAATTAATTGCGAACACACAACCCACATTAGAACACACGGCTCAAACACTGATTTGTCGAACACGCAGCCCGGGTTTGAAAGTGAACACGCAGCCCAGAATTTAACTGAAAGTTGAACACGCAGCCCAAACTTCAAATTTTCTGAACACGCAGCCCAGATAGATAGTGAACACGCAGCCGACAATTTAACTGAATTTGCATGTAGCTTATTCCACTTCATCGGCATACAGCCCATTTCATTATTGACACATGTATTCATTCTGAATGCAGGTTGGTTCCCGCAGTGTGCGGGGGTATGGTTCCACCATCGCACGGGACTGGTACGCTGAGCTCCCGAAGGGTGTCCGAGACTTAGTGGACTTGGCAGGATTTGGACCCTTCTGCGTTGGGTTGTCGCGTTGTCCTACCAGGAGGACACTGATGGCAGCCTTGGTAGAGAGATGGTGGGACACCACCAACTCCTTTCATTTTTGCACGTAGCTTATTCCACTTTATCGGCATACAGCCCATTTCATCTCATTGGCACACAACCCATTTATTTCATTGGCACATAGCCCATTTCATGTCATTGGCACACAGCCCATTTCATCTCATTGGCACACAGCCCATTTCATCTTATTGGCACACAGCCCATTTCATCTCATTGGCACACAGCCCATTTCATCTTATTGGCACACAGCCCATTTCATCTCATTGGCACACAGCCCATTTCATCAGTCCAAACTTCAAATTTTCTGAACACGCAGCCCAGATAGATTTTGCATGTAGCTTATTTCACTTCATTGGCACACAGCCCATTTCATTTCATTGGCACACAGCCCATTTCATCTCATTGGCACACGGCCCATTTCATTTCATCGGCACACAGCCCATTTCGTTTCATTATTGACACATGTATTCATTCTGAATGCAGGTTGGTTCCCGCAGTGTGCGGGGGTATGGTTCCACCATCGCACGGGACTGGTATGCTGAGCTCCCGGAGGCCGTCCGAGATTTGGTAGATATGGCAGGATTCGAGCCCTTCTGCGTCGGGTTGTCACGTTGTCCTGCCAGGAGGACACTGATGGCGGCCCTAGTAGAGAGATGGTGGGACACCACCAACGTCCGAGACTTAGTAGATTTGGCAGGATTCGGGCCCTTCTGCGTCGGGTTGTCACGTTGTCGTGCCAGGAGGACACTGATGGCAGCCTTGGTAGAGAGATGGTGGGACACCACCAACTCCTTTCATTTCTCTGCTACCGGGGACATGACCATGACGCCTCTAGACTTCGCTGTGTTGACTGGCTTAGACATCGGAGGTTGGTCCATCCCCTACGATGAGGATATGGGCGAGTGGGAGGCCGCCTGGATGTATCTATTGGGGGTTCGCCCACCTGTTGATAGGGTCTCTGGGAGAGTCTGATACACTTGGTTCTCTTCCCATTTTCGGCGGGCGGAGATGGTGCCCGAGACTCCCAAGGAGACGGAGCAGTATGCCCGTGGTTTCCTTATGTTCCTCTTCGGGACTACCCTGTTCGCCGACAGAGGGAACACAGTCAGGTTATACCTGCTGAGCGCTCTGGTTGACCTATCACAGGTCCATCGATATGACTGGGGTGGCGCCGGCCTGGCTACCCTTTACTTTTATATGAGCGCGACCTCCCGCGGGCGGGGCGATTTACTTGGCGGCTACTGGCGAGCCTGGGAGGTACTTTTCTGTCCCCTTGATTTACATTTCTGCTCTTCATTACTTGTACATTGCGCACACAGCGCGCTTTTACAATCTGTATTTTGCTCTCAGCATTTCGTACTTACATTCTGCACTGCTTTTCTCAGCTATGGGTCTATGTATACTTCCCAGCATTAGCCCCAGAGTTGGAGGTGGTAGGGATTCCCATGACCCCATATTCACTGGTGTTCGAGGGCCCGCACCGGCCGAGACCTCGAGAGACCCTCCTTTACCTGCGACAGTACTTTGACACTGTGCGACATTCAGAGGTACCTCAGAACTTTCAGTTCCTTTCATTTTCATCTTTGATTTGCTCTGTATATTCTCGATTTCTGATTGGTTTATGCATTTATCATCCGCAGATCACATGGCAGCCCCGGCCGAGACCTCAAGAGACCCTCCTTAACCTACGACAGTACTTTGACACTGTGCGACATTCAGAGGTACCTCAGAACTTTCAGTTCCTTTCATTTTCATCTTTGATTTGCCCTGTATATTCTCGATTTCTGATTGGTTTATGCATTTATCATCCGCAGATCACGTGGCAGCCCTGGGTGTCCCTGGGTGATGGTCTCCGACTTCAGTATACCGGAGCGTCGGACATTTCCCAGTATAGGGTCCTGCTCGAAGGGCCGGTTGGCAGGGCATGGTTCCTGGGGGAACGCTTTCTGCGCCAGGTATGGGGGTATCTTTCCCAGGATCCTCCCGCAGTACCTCCAGCCAGTATGCGGACTGCTGACAGGCTCTCTTACTCGAAGGTAGTCGGCGCCATGCTAGGTAGTGATGCTTTATTATATGTTGAGGAGGGGGACTACGCCACTTACCGTCACATATATTTGATGCCTCCATTGACGGGAGCTCGCACCTCGATGACAAGCCCTGCCGGTATGTCATCCTCGGGCCAGGCCCGAGCTCGGGCTGCAGACGCCCCTTCTACTAGCAGGGC